TACAAAGGTCATCAGAATTTTTCTGGAACAAACTGCAGAAAGAAGCATTTGAGAAATTGAAGGTTGCTTTAAGGACAGCACCTGCCCTGGGACTTCCGGACTTGGCAAAAGAATTCCAACTATTTGTCCATGAGAGACAAAGACTGGCATTGGGGGTCCTAACTCAGAAGCTGGGGAGCTGGAAGAGGCCAGTAGGATATTTTTCGAAACAGCTAGATGCGGTAAGCTCTGGATGGCCATCATGCCTGAGAGCAGTGGCAGCCACTGTTTTATTGATCCAGGAAGCCCGGAAACTGACTCTAGGTAAGCGAATCGAAGTCTTCGTGCCACATATGGTAACTACCGTTTTAGAACAAAAAGGGGGACATTGGTTATCCCCTAGTCGAATGATGAAATACCAGGCTATTCTGACTGAACAAGATGATGTAAATTTAAAAACTACTAACCTCTTGAATCCAGCGGCTTTTCTAGGTACCAACCCAGAAGAAGGAAACCTGGAACACGACTGTGTGGAAGTAATTAAATATACCTTCGCAACCAGGGAAGATTTGAAGGACGTACCCCTGAATAATGCTGACTGGGAATTATTTTCCGATGGGAGCAGTTTTGTGGAAAACGGGACTCGATATGCAGGATATGCCGTAACAATGCAAAAGGAAGTTGTGGAAGCTTGAGCCTTGTCTCCGGGTACATCAGCCCAAAGGGCTGAAATTATAGCATTAACCAGAGCCCTAGAATTGAGCAGTGGTAAAAGAGTGAATATCTGGACGGATTCGAAATATGCCTTTGGGGTAGTCCACATACATGGTGCACTATGGAAGGAAAGAGGACTTTTGTTGGCACAAGGAACCAATATAAAATATCAGGCAGAAGTATTAATGCTAATACAGGCGGTACAGAAGCCTGAGCGAGTAGCAATAATGCATTGTAAAGCACACCAAAAGGAGGTGTCAAAAGTCTCAGAAGGAAATGCTCTGGCAGACTGAGAAGCCAGACGAGTAGCTCGACAAATATGGACTCAAATGGCATTAT